CAGACAAGCAGCAAGAATGCTGCAAAACTAGAGATGCTTCGCAAAGTTTTACTATGATTAGTAATCAGTAATGTGTGTGTTAGTGCTTAGTCGTGTTGTACCTGAACCATTGAAGGGTATGAGAACCCCATGTAAAACCACACTCGGGGTGCCCCAGTTTGGCTGGGACATGGCATGCACATGAATGAATAGTTGCCCCTCTAATTCTATACTTTGTGTCCTAGCCTTTTGCCTCAGTTGTCATGGGCCAGTTGGGAATTTTTGTGACATGACCACTGACCAGCAATAATTAAAACATAGGTGTGTTATCAATACTGTTGTAATTACAAATCCAAAATGTAGCCCCATACAAGCTGCCATGAAGAATAACTCTATGCCAGCTAACACTGGCACACACAAACACTGTTGTAATTAAAGACACATACACACATTCAACTTCAGATACACACATAAAATAGATATGATTACAGATACAATTAAAGTCACAGACACTATAACATGCACAATTACAGATACAAGAACAGTCACACAAACCATTACACACAGAATTGCAGATACAGTTACAGATAAAGATACAATTACACGTACAATTGCTGATACAAGGGGTCACAGACACAAGCACACAGCCATTACACCTACATACACAGCTACTGCTTGCGTTCCCATTAATGATAGAGGTGCCACTGAACAGAGGTGCTGATCCAAATGCAACTGAAGCTACACATACAGATACCAGTACAGATGGAGATACGGGTAGAATTAGACATGCAGGTACCCATATAGATACCACTACAGACACCAGTATTCATCTAGGCAGAGATGCTGATACCGTTAGAGATACGGCTGCAGGTGCCATGGCAGAAGCAGATACCACTGCAGAAGCCCTTGCAGAAACATAGTATTTCAGATGCATCTGAAGATGGAGCTGCCACTGGAGATACAGATGTAGACAAAATTGGAGGTGCAGAGAGCATTGCAGGTACCCTTGCAGACAGAGGTAGCATTGCTGATGCAGATACCGTTTCAAAGGAAGGTATATTTGCAGATGCCATTGCAGATACATTTAGTGTGGCTGATGCAGATATCGATGCAGATACCACAGCAGCTGGAGATGCCATTGCACATGCAGGTACAATTGCAGATGCAGCAATAACAGAACGTGCCAATAAAGATGCAGATACCAGTTCAGATGCCAACACTTAGTGCAGATACTGACACATGTACAGGTAGAAAAATTACTACAAGTACATGTGCACATACAGATACCATTACCAATATAGAGTTACAGGTGCAATTATGGGTGCAGATATGAGACACAGTGCTGGTACCATCAGAAATACAGGTACTGGTACCATCACAGACACCATCACAGATACTGATGTATTTACAAACACTAATACCAATTAAACATGCAGATACAATTAGAGATACAGGCACAAGATACAAAGAATTAGAGATAGCATTACAGACACCATTGCAGATGCAGAAATCACTGGAGATGCAGATACCAGTACAGAGGCAGCTACAGAAACTATTACACATACAGGCATCCATATAGATACCATTACAGATACTGTTACTAAGACCATTAGAAATGCCATTGCAGATACACCCACAGACACCAGTGCTATTAGAAAGGTACTGATTCAACTGTCAATGCAATTACAGATACAGACAGAATTACACACACACCTACAGATATAAGACAAGCCACAGATAAGAGGACACATTCAATTAGACTTATTGATACAGACGCTGATCTCATTGCTGATAGGGCTACCATTACAGAGAGAGGTGCCATTGCACGGACAGGTAGTGATGCATATACTACTGAAGATACTGGTAGTATCTGCACCTGCATTGGTATCTGCAATGCCATCAGCATCTTCAGTGGCATCATCATTATCAATCAAATCTGAAATTGTACTTCCATCTGCCATGTCATCTGCTCTGGTATCTGCAGAGCCATCTCCACTGGCATCGATGCTGGTATCTTCAAAGGAATCAGGCATCTGCAACAGCATCTGCAATGGTGTCTGCAACAGCACCATCACCTGCATCTGGATTTGTGTCTGATACGACATCTGCATCTCCAGAGGTGTCTGTGTCACTGACATTAGGAATGAAAACTACTTAACACTGGGTTTAGAATTAACTTTGTCCAAACTTTTGAGTTTTTCTTCTTTATATGGTAAGGACTTGGCCTTTTTTTGGTTTATGTCTGCACATTCTTATCTCCTGCCTAGCTTCAGATAGTTCATTATTTTTCAGAGGGCCTTAATCTTCAAGGACAGGGGCTTCTGACTAGGTGTCCCTCAGTTTACACATGGACCCTCTCAGTTTATGCATTTTCCAGGAGGTGGTTATTATGCTTGCCAAGCTCAAGGACCTTTGTGCAACAGACATGTTGCAGGTGTTCAACTAATTGCTTAATTTCTTATGCTACCCTAAATATTTTTTTTCTCTCCCTTCACCCATTTTCCAACAATTCCCCACTTTGGAAGTAGTTAGATTTTCTAACAACTTCCATATATTTTTCTCAATGGTCTTTTACCTGATGACATTCCCAATGGAACTCCGAATCTGGATACTATTTCTTTTAATAGAATTTTTGCTCCTTCCCTAGCTTTGTTGGTGTGACAGGGAAAGTCTTCAGGCCATCCTGAACAGGTATCAACCAACACTAGCAGATATCAATATCCCTCTTGTTGAGATAGTTCTGAAAAATCTATTTGCCAGTAGTCCCAGGGAAAGTGCCTTTTTTTGTGCTTCCTATAGGGGGTCTCTTGTATGAAAGTGGGTTATTCTGTAAACAGGTTTTACACTTGCTGACCACACTTGTAACAATTCCTGCCATTCTTACGCTGAGCACTTGGCTTTTTAAGCTGTCCACAACAGCGTCTGCCCCCCAGTGTGTTGCATTATGTTTATCTTCAGCTAACTGTTTCATTACAGCCTGTGGTACTATGACTTGTTTATCTATAGTCACCCACCATCCCTTGGCATTTCGATGAGCTTTTAATATTTCAGCTAATTGATTATCCTGGCTCTGATATTCAGGTGCCCCTTTCAGCAGGTTTACCTGTTTGGATGGTACAGCAACTAAAATGCTTTTCTCTGCCACCTCCTTTGCCATTTTATCTGCTAATTGATTTCCTAGATTGACTGAGGTATGTCCAAACTGATGGGCTTTGCAACGCATAACGGCTCCTCTTGGTAACTGGACACTTTCTAGTAATTTCTTGATAAAGTCTCCATATTTGATTGGTGATCCTTGGGCTGATAGTAATACTCTTTCTTTCCATGGCTCCATGGGCATGCACTACTCCAAATGCATATTTGGAGTCTGTCCAGATGTTGGCTCTTTTTCCTTTTGATAGTTCTAATGCCTGTTGTAATGCTATCAGTTCCGCTTTTGGGCTGAGGTGTTAATGGGTAAAGGTTGAGCTTCCACAACCTCAGTCTGAATTACCACTGCATGGCTCGCTCTTCATTTTCCTTCTCACATGTAGCTGCTACCATCTGTAAACAGTTCTTCCTCAGAGTCCTCTGTGGAGTATCTCTTAAGTCTTCTCTGCTTGAGTATACCTGTTTGATGGTTTGGAGACAATCGTGTTGTAGCATTCCCTCCCCTTCAGACACAGAATCTAAAAACATTGTGGGGTTAAGAACAGTAGTTATCCTTACTTCCACATCTTCTTGCTCTAGGAGGACTAGTTGGTACTTTAGCCTCCTGCCTGGGGATAGCCAGTGGCCCCCCTTTTGCTCCAGTACAGAAACCACCATGTGAGGCACATAGACAGTCATTTTCTTTCCCCGTGTCCATTTCTGGGCTTCTTGAATTAGTAGAACGGTGGCAGCCACAGCTCTCAAACACACTGGCCATCCTCTGCTGACATTATTGAGCCGCTTAGAAAAATATCCTACAGCTCTCTTCCATGGCCCCAGTGTCATGGTTTGAGCTCACAGAACAACTGAGCACCACACAGCTGCTTACTACCCTTTTCCCCCCAGGGATGAGAAGAGGAAAATAATCCAGGTTTGGGATTCCAGAGGGGATTGGGGGAGGAAAATCACCCATTATGGTCATGGGCAAACAGCAGTCTCGTTAGGGGAAGAAGAAAATAACATAGCTTTATTACAGACACTAACAACACGTAACAGAGTAGGACAGTGAGAAGCATTGCCACATCTTGAGAACACCTTCCCCCCACCCCTCCCTTCTTCCCGGGCTCAGCTCTGCTCCCGATATCTCTACCTCCTCCCCCAGTGGCGCAGGGGCAGGGAATGGGGGGTGCAGTCAGCGCTGCCACTTCCTTCATCTTCGGTGAGAGGAGTGTCCGAAACTTGTTCCTCCTACTCCATCGTGGTCCCCCTCTCACAGCAGACAGTCCTCCACAAACTTTCTCCAACATGAGTTTCTCCATGGGCCGCAGCGTTCCCCACACTGCTCCGTCATGGGTCACTAACTTCTCCGACTGGATTCCCTCCCACGGCTGCAGCCCTTCCCGAGCTGCTCCGGCGTGGGATTCCCCCGCATGCTGCAATCCTCCCAGCGCTGAATTACAGCAGCGGGGCTGCCTTTCCCATGAGACCCCGGCCTTCTCCGAGCACAGAGCCTTGATCATTTAAGCAGGAGCAACAGGCCATAAATCAGTGTCTGCTCCACCGTAGATCTCCATGGTTGGCAGGGGGGGGCCGCCCTGCCGTCTCACCACAGGATACAGGGGGGTCTCTGCTCCGGCACACCTCCCCCCTCCTTTCTTCCTCCGTTCCTCCACTGACCTTGGTGTTCACGCAGCTGCAGCAACTCCTCCTCACAAGTCCGACTGCCCGTCACCACGTCCCTTCTTAAATACGTTATCGCAGAGGTGCAGCTGATGGGCTCAATTTCCCAAACAGAAGTGGAACTGGCTTGGAGCTGAGGGGAGCTTCGAGAAGCTTCTCAAAGGGGGGCCGCCCCTATAGCCCCCTCCCCTGCCACCAAAAAACTCCACCACTCACTCAATCCAGGACACCTTTAATGACTGAAGAAGGAAAGAGAGAGATGGGAGAGGGCTGGGGCTGGGAACGGAGGCGGGTGTGCGGGTCGCATGTCCCACGGGTTGTGCCCCACAGCTTCTGTGCCCAGCTGTCAGAAGCGGCCGGGGGGGTGTGGGGCACTCTGCCCCGTGGGGTCCCTCAGGGCTCTGGCTCGCTTGGTGGGCACGCTGCTGCCGTCGGGATGCTCTGCGCTTGCTGCTGCCCACCGCTGCGCTGTCCCTGTGCGGCAAGTGGGTCCAACCCCCCCGGGGCTGCCTCCGCAGCGCCTCCCCCACCAGTGGGGCCCTGAGGGGCGGATGACACTGGGGGGCAGCCGGGGGGCTGGCCGGGGGGCTCAGCAGCGGGATGCGCAGGGGGCTCAGCAGGGCACTCTCCAGAAGACCCTGCGGGGGATCCTTCCAGGGACTCTCCGCAGGACGGGCCTCTGAAGTCTCCTCGGAAGTCTCCAGGGAGCTCTCCTCCTCAGCAGCCTCCGAGGGGCTCGGGGGCAGCCGGGTGGGGAGGTCTGCTGCCACCCCACCCTGCTGCCCCTTGGGGTCCTGCGAGGGGGAGGCCGCCACCCCCCAGAAGGGGTCGGCGTCCCCCAGCATGGCCGCTGCCAGGCCGACCTTGGGGCCGTTGTCCTGCACCCCATCCTCCAAGAAGTCGGGGACTTCGCCGACGGAGGCGGTGCTGGCGAGGCCGTGGGGGACATCGGGGAAGGTGTTCTCGCCGGCCACCATCTCCACTGTCGCCGCCTGCTCCTTGCAGCCGCCCTCTGCCCTGTGCTCCGAGAGGTGGGGGAGCTCGTTGAGGGAGGTGGTCAGGTTGGGGACATTGGGGACAGTGTCCTCACCATCCCCAGCCCCGCCACCACCGCTCGCTCCTTGGGGCAGCTGCCCCCTCCCACATACTCGGAGAGGTGGGGAAGCTCATCAAGGACCTCGACAGTCAAGCGGGGGACATTCGGTGGTCAAGCAGTTGTCCTGCTGTCCCCTGGCTGTGCCACCACCGCTTGGTCCCAGGGGCCGTCGCCATCCACCATGTCCATGGAGAGGTCCGGGAGCTCATTGAGGAAGGCGGAGCTGGCCAGGCTGTAGGGGAAATCAAGGACATCGGGGACCGTGTCCTCGCTGTCCCCCCAGCCCCGCCACCACCCGTTGCTCCTTGGGGCAGCCGCCTGCCCCCACGTACTCGGAGAGGTCGGGGAGCTCACTGAGGAAGGCAGCCAAGCCAGGGTCATCGGGGCCGGTGTCCTCGCTGCCCCCCAGCCCCGCCACCGCTGTCTGCTCCTTGGGGCAGCTGCCCTCTGCCACATAGTCCGAGAGGTCGGGCAGCTCTCGGAGGAAGGCGGCCAAGCTGGGGCTGTCGGGGCCATCGGGGACAGTGTCCTCACTGTCCTCGGTGTGGAGCCAGGCGGTGGTGTCCTCTGCCTGCTCAGGAACGGCCTCAGCGAAGGCGGCTGGCCCCTGCTCGGGCAGGTCTGTGCGCTTCCCGGGGGCTGCTGGGGTGGTCACCACTGCTGAAAAAGCAAGCAAAGACAACCCAGCCCCTGGTGATGCAAGCTCTCCTCGGCTTGGCCGCCCACCTGCGGGCCCTGCCACCCCCTAAAACTCACCCTTGGGCTGTGTGGTGGTTCCGCTGGTCGGCGGAGCAAGGGCAGGGGGGGTGGGGGGTGGCAGCAGGGACGCTGTCCTCAGTGGCCACCACGTCCTTGTTGGAGGCCTCTGATGGCTTCTGGGCGCTGCCGGGGAGGTTGTGGGGCACAGGGGGGCCCTGCACCCAATGTTGAGTTGTGGGGTGGCGGGGTGGCGAGGGGCCGGGGTGGGCAGGGACGTGCCACAGGCAGGAGCCCGTGGGGTACAGGGGCCCCCCCTGGAGCACAGCCCCTGGCCCCAGCCCCATCGGCTGGTGGGGCACCAGCGTCCCCAGCACCAGCTGCTGTCCCCATCTGTAGGCAGGGGGACAGGGAGCAGCCACGGGGGAGAACTGCACCCCAGGGGGGAGCTGCACCCCAGGGGGGAGCTGCACCCCGGGGGGGAGCTGCACCACGGGGGGAAGTGGCACCCCAGGGGGGAGCTGCACCATGGGGGGAAGTGGCACCATGGGGGGAAGTGGCACCCCAGGGGGAGCTGCACCCCAGGGGGGAGCTGCACCACGGGGGGAAGCAGCAGCACCCCTGGGGGGGAGCTGCCCCGGGCCCCCATGGGCCCTGGCACCCCCTGCCAGACGCTGGCCTGTGGCAGCTGGGAGGTGACGGGGTGGAGCTGGGCGGGCTGGGAGGACACCGGCAGCCCTGGGACGGAGAGCAGCGTGCCGGCAGGGACCGGTGGCGGCATGGCCGGAACACTGAAGCTCTGCAACCCTGTCTGCCGGGGGGGTTGGAACGTGCCCCATTATGGCATCACCTCCTAACGACATCACACACGCAGGGGCCGGGACCGGGACCAGCTGTGAGCCCCTCCACGGGCAATGGGGTCCTGGTCCCCCCGGCCCCCTCGCTCCATGGCCGCCCTCAGCCTTCGCTCAGCCACAGCCCAGGTGACACCCACCCTGTGCCTGCACCCTGCTGGGGGCTGCTCTGGGCAAAACCAGCCCTGGGATGCCCCCGCAGCTCATTAATATTATTTAGCCTGGATAGGGAGCTCCCCGGGGGGAGGCCCCAGCTGCCCTTGCAGCAGCCCACGCAGGAGGAAGCTGAGGCCCAGGCTCGCTCATGCCAGTGAGGAGGCCACAAATCCTCTGTCACTGCCGTGCCTGCGGCCAGTTTGGAGGGGGGGAAGGGGCTGCCTGGGGCCGAGGAGAGGGGACCCCCAGGGGGGACGGGGGGCCCCGTCCTGACTCCTCACTGGCTTCACTCCCGGGCAAGTGCTTCTCCTCTGCGCCAGGACGGAGAGCACAGCGGGGGCTGGAGAGCGTCCCCAGGAGCTGCATGGGCTCGGGGGGCATCCCTGAAGTGGGGTCTGTGGGAGCTGTTCGTGTTACATTGTGAAATTTTAGTCTATGTTTTTGAACAACTGAAGACATAACAGGCACTGGTTCGAGGGTCTTTCTGAGAATGTTTTACTAGTGTAGGCTTAACTGCTGCCTGTGGCATGATAGAATTCAATAGACCGGAAAAGGAAAAAGACAGGAGTTCCCCATTCCTTGTGGAAAGCCTGCACTTCAGTATTAGTTCTCAATAAACCCTGCAGTCCATTACTGACCTGCGGCCTGGGGACTTCATTCCTGCGAGCTGCTCCCACAGGTGGCTGGGAGGGAGGAGTGTGGTCGCAGTGGAGAAGAAAACCACAGGACTGTGCTCTGAATCCATGTTTTTCATCATCATTCAAAATTGGGTTTGGTCTGACAACAGGGGAGAATAGTATTAAAATCTCACCCTTCCCAAACTAATTTGGATACTATGTCCTGTGGTTTCAGATAATACAAGTAACCAGTTTTCTCAGTTTTATCGTCCACTTTGTCATGGTAAAAACTTTGTTTCACTAATTTGAGCAGTTTGGTTTTTTCTAGACAAAGTAGTGGGTTACATTTACGGCTGATGGTTCAGATTGGTGTTTTTCTCTGGGTTTTGTGGGGTGTGGTGAGTTTGGCATTTTTCAGCTCCTTGACAGGAGGGGCAGAGTTCATGTTTCAGGGCTCATATGCCCGTGCTTTATTTTGACAGACAACTATACTTTGATTCGTAAAAGCATAACCATGTGCATTTATACGTGATTAGACATTAACTGATTACTTTACAAACTACACTGAAAAGAAGCTCCTGTAGTGATGCTTCCCTCTCAGATAAGCATAACTTTTTAAAAATTCCCTGTTAGCCGAAAACTGACAGCTTCCCCCTTCAACTTTTAAGCACTTGTGAGCATCTGACAAGGGTCCCTCTCTGAGATATTCTGGAGCAATGAAGTTGATCTCAAGTGGGTTTGGTTGTTTTAGTTTCCTTCTCATTAACCACACAGGCACTCTTAAGCTGTCATAGGTTTGGATTTTGTTTTGAACAAATACCATTACACTAGGTTGGAAATGCCTTTTTCAGTGACACTCGGAGGATATAGTGCAGACTTTCAGGATACAGTAGAGGTTAACTATTGCTATATTTTGATGGTAGAACTTGAATATGTGTTTGATTTTTTGCAACAGATTGATGAGTCTTCTGCATCAATTTCTCTGGCGCAGCTTATTAAGGTATATTCTTGTCAAATACTCATAAAAAAAAAAAAAAAGGTTTTTCATCATATTTTTAAATCTTATACTGTGATCTATAGCTGGATAACTGTTGTAATGTGAACAAAACTTAATTTTTAATAATGTACAGGTACTTGTTTTAACTTTAAAATGTGTGTATATTTTGTTACTATCTTGTAAGGATTAGTGCCCAATTTGGGAAGATAGAAGGGGAGTAACTTCACAGACTCAACGTAATGTTGCAGTATTACCTTCAGAACAAAAAGAAGAAGTACTTCAGAAGCTGTTTGCTGTTTCTCAGATTTTTCATAATTTTGTATTGGAAACTTACACAGTTTTCATAGAAGAATTTAATTTGCTGTAAGTTGTGAACAGCCGAAAGAGAAGCGTTCCTGTACCATGCACAACTGCATGGCTATTTTCTAATTTCTAGCCACTGCATAGATCCATTTGTGGAACGCTGCACAGTTTCATGTAGACAGTGGACAACACAATCTGATTTGTTTGAATGCAGGCTGTGGAAATTGTGTAAATGCACCTAATTGTTTGTAGGAACATACCATGTGTACGTGTGGCATATTAGCAGATGTGACTTTCCGAAGCTGTTGTAACGCCATGTTTTGCTATGGAACTGCTTGCATTATTTGCTCAGCGCTGTGTAACTTTGTCTGGGAAAGCACTAGTGATTGCACTGTGTGAAAAGGAGGAGTGCTAGCCAGGGAAATTACTAGTTTTTAAAGCGATAAGGATTAGAGAAGGTAAGGCCTGATCCAGAGGAGCTAGTTCTTTCTTCTGCAAATAAAGTCCGGAGTTCATTTCCAAGAAAGAGAAACCTCCTCATCCCTCCCAGTGCAGAATTAAATTGTGTATATTTGGGATAAAACAAAACAAAACAAAACCAAACCAAACAAACAAAAAACCCACTAAACCTAATTACTTTGGAAGGTAGCCACCAAAGGAAATTAGTCTCCATTAGTGCTGTCCCTAAACATGCCCTTGGTTCTGTAAACTCATGTGAAGTTTTACTCTAAAATGTGAAACGCTGTCAAAGTGGTGTACGCATTGAAGCTTTCGAGAAAATTTAAGTGTTTCAGAAAAATGCAGGAACATGTCATAAAGCAGCTCAAAACTGTTACTTATTCTAACCTCTTCAGTGCAGACTGGTTTAGCATGGAGGCAACGTGTTGCAAAAAAGTTTTCTGCATTATTATTACTATGTATAAATGCTTTATTTGAATTTTGGTCTATTCCTAGTAATGCTTAGTCATTTTGGGACGTGTTTTGTAAACATGTTTGGGTTCAAACAAATCAGTCGAGTATCTGTAAAGTTTTCTGTAAATGTTAATGAAATTATTTCATGGATGTCAACCTGGATTATGTTACGGATGAGAAAAAACTGTGTCTATGAGACGGTCATTTAATAAACCGTTGAAACTAGCTGGTTACTTTTGTGAATGAATGCATATAAAAACAGACACACCAGTGGTTGATCCGAGTGACAGGTCCAAATCATTTACAATCTCTCCCTTAGGCCCTGCTTGTGTCTGCACTAGTGTGTAATAAAAACATTTGGACAAATACTACTGAAAAATCTCATCTGGCTTCAATAACGTGAAGATCTCATTCTGTGTAAGGTTTCTGTTACAATTTGCATGTTAAAAAGACACAGTCAACTGGAGAAAAACTGCAGGTTGTGCTGACTGGAGTTAAATCCCTTCATATGAAGAAGTTAGTAGGCAGGGGACGTGCCGTTTGGCTGCCTGACAGCACATGA